TTTTAAAAAAATTATTTAGGGGTATATATGATTCTTCTATCAAAGTTCAAGGTATATTTTAATTTTTTTCATACATAAATTATTTTTTGACTTCTTTTATTATAATTATTGAATTTCTTATTCTTATTTTTTTTCTTTCATTCCTTAATTTAAAGAAAAAAAATTAACCTATTTTTTTTGTGTGTATTGTAATTTAATTTTGTATTCGAATAAAAAATTTGGTCATCTACAATAAATTTTTCAAGAATATTAGTGAAACATAAATAAATTTAATTATCAAAATAATAATTATAAATTAGTCATTAAAATAAAAAAAATTTAAAAAAATATGTTTGACGAGGATTAAATTTATTCATATGGAATTATAATTCATTTCCGTTAGAAGAATAAGATATATGTTAGCCATTTGTTTACAAGTATAAATATATATGAGCCACTTTTGTAACAAGGATATATCAACTCTAAATGACAAAGGATATATCAGACCCTTTCCCCTAACAATTAAAATGTACGAAGATAATATTAGCTTCGGTCCTAATTTAAGTGGGGTTTGGCCATGTGCGTATTAGAAGGCAAAATAGTTGTGTTTTTAAAGTAAAAAAATAATATTATTAGAGCAATTTTAATTTAAGAGTTCACACAACTACTTTTAAAAATTAGTAGCCGTGATATGGCGACATTAATTTTCGCTACTTAAGCTTATCAACTACGATATTTACCAAATTTTGTTTTTGTTAGATTCGACATTCTAAAAAAAGAGGTTCAAGTGAAATTATGTTTTTTTTTAAAAAAAATCCTAGACACTTCTTTGCTGAATTGAGTAGTGAAAAAATGATGTTTGCATCTTAATTTTAATTGGTTGAATCTATCAAGAATGAGTTAGAATTTAAATTATAAAATGAGTCAAAATGGTACCAGTATTGTCTAAAACTACAGCAAAACAATAGCAAAATCACGGTAAAAAAAAAAAACTGAAAATTGCACCAAGACATGAGTAAAACCGAAACAAATTAAACTACATTAAGTTTAACGAAGATACATAAAACCTTAGAATGTAAATAATACGAAGAAAAAAAATGTTCGAAAACGATTACTACCACTCTCACATAATTTTGATAAAAAACAGTCTTTAATTAACCATCAATAGATTAAAGACAATCGTCTTTTCACTTGAACTCGAATATCAATCATTTCTCTAATCCGTTCTTGTCGAAAATGCGCACAGTAAATGTCTTCGCTCCATCGTAATTGAAGAATAAAACTTGAGTCATTTGAATATGATTCTCCAACGCAAATTCCTTCCAACCACCATGGAAGTACATCGAGTTTCCATCCTCACGTGTTGTTATGTTCCAATACTTGTCACCATCACCACATTTTAGCAACACTTCTCCCATTGTTTCTTCCCTCATACGATTCACAAGAGTCGATGGAACTCTCTACGATAACCAAAAAAACAAACACAATCTGGTATTTGAGTTTTATCCCTATTTATCATATCAACGTAATATAATTTATCGCATACTTTATATAATATATATAGATTTTAATTTTTTTTTAATAATAAGTAAAATAATTGACAACTGAGAATCTAATTAAGATAGAGTTCAAATCTCGACTCTACCTAATAACAAAAATATTTATTTACACATGTAATAAATGAATAAGATCAAACAAGCATGTTATTTGGAGGCTAGCTATGTGTAAATAAATGAAATTTACTCATTGACAATTAATATTTGTAAACAAGTCATCGATATAAAAATAATAAATAAATAGAAGTTTGATTTATAACAAATATATTTGTCTCTAAATAGTAGATAAGGCTTATAGATTTAAAATTAACAATAAAAATCATTGAGTAAGATCAAGCAAGATATGCATCTAAAAGAAATAATGATAATGGTTACCCTTGAAAAGATTTATAAAATTTAAATTAATATTAATAAAATTTGACTCTTAGCAATTTAAACTGAGTCATGTTATCACCTATCACAAATATTTATACATATGTAATTTGTAAATTAATTATGAAATATTGGACATTCAAATTTGTATTCCTTGAGTGAACAAAAAGAAAAAAAAACCAATTCATTCTTTTTTCTAATTAAGAGGTGCAATCTTAATTCTTATTCTATAAGGTTGAATAAAAATTTGAATGATCATTTGTTAATTTCTATACTTTTAAGGTGTGAGTCATTTAATTTTTTAGGGGTGGATTTAAAAATCCCTAGCCTAGAAGAGAGAACGAAAGCATATTCTTTAACATTTAAATGTATTAAAAAAATTATAGATCCGAAAGAAATAGGTCAAAATGTTTTCTATCGATAAAATTTATAGATCTAAAATTGATATTGACAATTAACTCTTAACGATTTAAGTAAAGTCAAGTTATCATCCGTCTAACACATATAGCTACATTTGTGTAATTTATGAATAATATCAAACATGTTGTCTAAATCTAAAATAAAAAAAATAAATTTATGTTTACTGACGATTGAAATTTAATAAATAAAATTCGTAGATCTAAAAAAGATGATTGAAGTCACTCACTTTTAGTAAAATTTTATAGATCTAAAACGACTACTAAACAAATTATTTCTTAACGATTTTAATAGTGTAGTTACCATCGGTCAACAGAGATATTCATACATTAGTAATAAAATCAAATAAACATGAAAAAGCATATCGTCGATTTGAATCTAAAATAAATAAATAAAGCTATTTTCAGACAATTTAAATTCATAAAAATAGATATAAAAGTGAAAAAAAAATTAATAGTAATTCTTGAATTGAGAATGCAACATTACCAGTTCTTCCATACGAGGGTCCAAAACAATCTTGTAGAAGGAAAGCTCATCATTTGGGTTACCTCCAAAATTGCTCATTCTCACTATTTTTTCTGCAAATTCTTTTTTTTTAATTTTAGTGAATGTTAAATTGCTAATTAAGCTTTCAATATATATAGCTATAATGAAATTAATGCAATCTAATTATTGATTTAGTTATTAATTACTCTGGCAGTGAATGTTATATTCTTAGTTAAGATACCTTAACTAAGATTAATATCTATTAAATACCTCTACCTATTCGAATTTAAATTATTTAGACACTTACGGCATATGTGGCACATAAAATGAAATGTATATTATAATAAGCGCGGGAAATTAATATTTTAACATTTTTTTTCAATCATCTTTTTCTCATTATTTTTTTTAATAATAACAATCTTTTTTATTTTTCTTCTCTTTCAAGACCATACCCTGTTGTAATCACTTTTCTTCACATTTTTTTTTTACAATTTTCCTGCTTTCCTTTTGTAATCTTCTTATCATTGTTTATTTTCGTTATATTTTTTTTAAAAAGGATGGACATCATTATCCATAATTTTTTATCGAGAAATAAAAATATCTTCTTTATCGAAAAATGAGAACCATCGATCAATTTAAATGAAAATAAAATAAAAGGTATAAAAAGAAATAAATATAATAAATTTATACGTAATATATATTAAAATTTCTAACTTTTTAAATGGAGAATCTACTATAGTAATTGTTAGAGAAAGAGAACAAAGTGAGAGGCTTGCGGTGGGGTGTGGGGTGGGTGATGTGGGGTTTATAATTTCTTTTTTTTTCTTTTAGTTTCTTTTTTTAAAAAAAAGTTTTTAAGTCTTTTTCTTTAATATTTTGACATGTTTATCTTTAAAATTCACTTTTATAAAATATTTTAAATTAAAATATCACGTATTTTTATTTGATTTGTGATTTTATCACATCATAAGCATGTTATGCATATATATTATACACACTTTCTCTTTTAATTATTAGTGTTAAAAAAATATTTAATATATTTATTTTTTATCATTTAATGACAAAATTGATTTTTTTTTTGACCTTGTAGATTTTATTTTAATAACCTTTAATGCACAAATTTTGAAATTATAAGGCAAATGATCTTTCTAGTTTTACAAGCACTATATTTTTTTGTTTACTTGTAATATCTATCGAGATCATCTCCAATTCACATCTATTTTATTTTCTATTTTTATATTTGGTAAGTAAAATAGAGAATGTGTGCTTCAATCCATTTTTATATAAGTCTTTACTTTTCGAATTTACAGAGTTGAAAAATAATTCTCTAAATTTAGACCATTTCCAATCAAATTTACACCGTTGAACTATAATTCTCTAAATTTAGATCATCTCCAATCCATCTCTATTTTACTCTCTATTCTCTATATTTCGAAAATAAAATAGGGAATAAGATTTTTAACCCACCTCGAAATCACTCTCTATTCTTCAAATTTAGAGAGTTGACTAGTAGTTCTCCAAATTCTATTTCACTTTTTTAATATTTTATTATTATTTCCATTACTTTCTAATTAACATATTATTTTACATATAATTTCATTAATTAAATATCTAATATTCATAATTCTTTTTAATGGAGAGTAAAATAGAGAATGAGAACTCCAAGACACCTCGAAATCACTCTCTATTCTTCAAATTTAGAGAGTTGACTAGTAGTTCTCCAAATCCTATTTCACTTTTTAATATGTTATTATTATTTTCGTTAGTTTCTAATTAACATATTATTTTACATATAATTTTATTAATTAAATATCTAATATTCATAATTCTTTTTAAATGTAATATAATATATTAAAAATATATTATTTAATATATACTACTTTATTTTCAAACTAATAGTATTTTTTTCCGAATTTTCATCAACTTTTTGTTTTATAATATGTAACACAATAATTTAAATACAAGATAAAATAAAATACAATACATAATAACTAATTTGCGATGAAACAAGAATTATGTCGAAAAGATGTTGAACATGCATTCAGAGTTTTTCAATTATTGCGGGCCGTCACATTTTTTTTTATAAAAAAAGTGATACATGATACACTGACTTTATGTATTATATTGCACAACGTGATAATTGAGGATGAACGTCATCATAATGCACCAACTCAAGATGTCATACAGGCTCCATCTCCAATGACAGAAATGGTGGTAGATAAAAATCTCTAGTTTGAATAACTTTTAGCTAGACATAAAAATATTTAAGACAAAATGCTCATTTTGAATTCTGTAATGCTTAATAGAGAATTTATGGGAGCAACATAATACTTTCAAAAATTAAGGGTTTATGTAATTGTATTTCACTTTTATATGAATTTGTCCATTAATTTATATATTATATATTATTTTCTTGAAATTTATGTTATTTAAAAATTTAGAATAAAATATAATTTTATATTAAATAAAAAAAAATTTAAAAAATATATCATATGACAATTATATAAAGTAATTATTGAGAAAAAGGAAATAAATAATTTATATCATGAAATAAGAAAATAAAAATGAAATAGAAATAATAAGATAATATTTTGAGAAGAGAGAGAATGAGTAGATAGAGAATTGGTTGGTGTTGGTTATCTAAAAATAAAATAAAAATATTTGTAGAGTATAGGTTTGAAGATGTCCAAACTATTATTTACGCTCTCTATTTAACTTTTTAAATATTTTATTATTATTTCTATTACTTTCTAATTAACATATTATTTTACATATAATGTCACTAACTAAATATCTAATATTCATAATTATTCTTAAATCAAAGATAATATTAAAAAAAAATTATTTAATATGTACTACTTAAATCTCGAATTTATTATTTTAATTTTTTCTAATTTTCATCAATAATATAATTTGATTTTATTATTAAGTTTCACTATAAAGAATACACAGAATTAAATTGATAAGATGAAATTTTTATTTTTGAAAATTAAGGACAAAAATGTTCCATTTGAACGTCGTAATAAATTAATATCGCATCTATGAGAGCAACATAATAATTTTGAAAATTGAGTGTTTTTGTAATATTTATGTAATTGTATTTTATTTTTATTTGGTTGTCCATTAATTTGTATATCATATTATATTTTCTTGCAATTTATGTCATTTAAAAACTTAGAATAAAATATATTTCTCTATTAAATATAGAATTTGAAAAAAATAAAAAAATCTGTATCACATGAAAATCCTATAAAATAATTATTTGGGAAAAATACAGTAGATTCATATTATGAAATAAAAAATAAGAATGAATTAGAAATAATAATATAATATTGAGGAGATAGAAAAATATTCATTTTTAGAGAATAAATTAGAAATGGGTTGGAGTTATTTGTCTGATAAAATGAAAAACTCTATATTTAGAGAGTAGAATAGGGTATAGGGTTAGAAATGCCCTAAAATGATGGTATTTGTTTGCACATAATGGAGGTTTGAATCTTAATCATTCAGATTTTCTCCATTAGGTGTTTTTGTTTTTTATGTCTAAATCTTAATTATTTAGACTTAGTTCATTAAGTTTGTTTGTTTTATTTATTTATAAGTCTCTTAATGAGTCTGAATATATCTAAATGAATCAGGTTTGTAACACACTCATAACACTATTCAGACTCAAAAATAAGATTCCTATCTTAATTCAATTACATAACAACAACTCATAAAAGTTGTTGTCTTATTTAATTAATGTTAGTTACATGCTTACTGTTATAATTTTCTTTATTTTTATTAACTTAATACACATCTTTTACTTTCATAAATTAATCAATATATTTAAATAGATAAGCACTCAATGATTTAATATTTAGCACGATTCAAAAAAATATGAAAGTATTAATTATTTGATCGATAACAATAACAAATGTCTATTATAAAATAAAATAGTTTTATAAACATTATATTACTACTCTATATAAACTATTTTACATTGCATTATATTAGGTTCTAAAAAGTTTTGAGTGAAAATAATATCATATTAATGATGTAATTTAATGTTAAATTCTTAAAGATAAATCATATTACATTATTACGATAAAAATGTTCAAAATATTACTTTCTTTTAAAAACTTATTTTATTTTAATGAGGTTTTTATAATAATTATTGATATAGTATTTGATTTCATATGCACATTCAGATATTGAAAACGAATCGTCCCAATAATTTCAGTGTTCATATTCAGAGACAATATCGTAATATTCATATGTTTATTTAGATTTACACCTCTAGATTTTAATGCACGTTTTAATATTTAGTGTTCGTTTGGTCATGCGATATGATATCATGAGATGAAATTGAAGTTTTCTTTGGACATGTGATATGAAATTTTGGTGTTGATATTTTCTCATAAACATAAAAATCTCATAAATTCTGAAACTACTAAAATAGCCCCAATTGTTTATTCAATATTATCAAATAAACAAAAAAAATCATAAAATTGTATAATAAATTATTATAAATTTATTTGTTCTCCACGTAAGTAAATGTTTCATCAATTTATTTGGATAAAAATGAAACACCTTTCACGAGTTCTTCAAGATTTTATTACTCAACAATCGTGAAGTATGAGCTAAAGTGATTATATGTTGGTGAGAATAATAAATTTTATGTCGGTGAGAATAATAAATTTTAAAAAATAATGATGTGATTATAAATTTTATTTACATGTGAAATATATGGTTAGTAGATATAAATGTGGGGTTGTTTTAACAAAATATATCGTTGATTAATTTTTGTATTAAAATAACTCAAATTATGATATGTATTCCCATATGATAACATATCATAGTTTTTGAAGAATATGGTATCACATCTCATGATATGGAATCATGAGATGAAATCAGCGTAAAATCGCATGTCCAAACGCTGATTCTATCTCATGATACCATATCATGATATGGTGTCACATGGACAAACACTTACTTCGATTTAGACGTCTTAATTTTAAAATCTTAATGAAAACAAATCAGGCCTTAAACTATAAAACTATTTTCTTCATTTATAAATCTATCATATTTGTAAAATT